TAAGACTTTAAGAACTTTGTACATCGCCTCTATTACATGTGATATTCAAATTGCAGATGCAAATGCTTCAGTCCATTGAAACAAAACGCAGCTATAAAGCTAAGCTTTATATTCAGCTGACAAACAGATGAGCGCAGCACATAAAAGGCAATGGCTACAACTATCTAAAATACTACGACTCCCCTCTGTGTCCCCAGCTGCGACCGCACCGTCCCGCCCACCCACTCCACTGTTTCGTGTGTCATTCGAGTGCTAAACAAATGCCATGCGACAATAGTCAACGCCACGTTTTACACATTGTATTTCATTTCATGCTACGCAGCATCCGAGTCGAATTTATTAAGCCTGCCCCGCTGGCAGAGCCCCAAAAACTGTGCTATATGACATGTTTGGCCATCACTGTATGCCCAATCGCCCAATACCCTGTAGTCATAAATGTGTGCATTGAAAGGCATGGCATACAGTAAAGAGATGGTATATACTATATAAATTGTTAGATGGTTTGCAAAATAGATGTGAGGAGCTTGCAGAATCGAACAGAGAGAGATATAGATAGCAAACATATTCAGCGAACTTCGACATAGAAGTGAAAAGAGAGCGCAAGAGACTTTATAGTACAGAATTTGCCTTAAAAATTATATATACTCATTAGTTATACTATAGAAAGTTATACATAATTATAGATTTAATAAGAAAGGACAATCAATGAGATAAGCCATGGAGAAATAAAGAGAGAGAGCTATAGACATTAGTTTATAGAATCTACCTATAAATTTGAATAGATAATTGCATATATATAGATCCCTCTAAGAAGCGAACAATAAGAGAGCTACAGGGAGGAGCTAAAGATATAACCAGTTGAATAATATAATCGGCCTTGGCATAGATCTACTCCTACATGTAGCATCGTTCCTTTTTATAGATTCTCATACAAATCGTAGTCCCGCATAACAGAGCTCTACATATAGGGCATTCTCTTAGTCATTCACTGCCCCTTTGCCCTTTTTATCTTCTCCTATATATAGCCTCTTTCATTTCTATAGATTCTCATACGAATCGTAGTCCCGCATAACAGAATTGCAACAGAGTTTTACATACAGGGCATTCTCTTAGTCATTCACTGCCCTTTTGCCATTTTTGGAATTATTTTACAGCTATTATTGTTGCCTGGGCATTGTTTGTTGGCCGGAGTGGTTTTTATGGCCGCATTGACAGTCAATAGAAGAGCTTGACACAGCGCATAGTTTTCTGACCGCGCTCCAACGGCTAGACACTGGCCAAACGCTCCGCTCTGGCCTCGAGGCCAATTGGTGTACGCGTGCTGTTCCTCTCCCTTTCACCCCCCCTCCGCCCACAACCAACGATGACCCGTCCCTCGGCAGCTTATTGATTTGTAGTCAAATTGTTGCCACCGCCAATGCCAGTGGGACCACATCATGCGCATTAAAAGTGGCGCCAATGTTACAGCATCCGCAGAAAGGACCTCGGTAAGTAGGTCGCTATTCGTTGGTTTCATAACCGGCGCCCGTTGCTCATACGCCGCGTAGGCCAAGTGCCAAACGAAAAACGTTTGAAACTTTTGTTTGCGCTTTATTATCAATTGTTGTTGTTCTTGTTGTTGTTGATGTTGCTGTTACTGTTGGTTTTGTTTTCTTTGGCGTTTTTATTTTATTTTCTTTTACTTGGTTCTTTTTTTTTTGTTGGCTTGGTTTGTTTGTCTGGCGCGTCGCCAACACATCGCCTTGCGCCTTGCGCCAAACACAGAGGCCAAGGTTTTTCGGCGGCATCAAGACGCGACTTTATGGCGACAGGCGTCAGGCGACAGGCCGCCAATAGTTTCAGTTTACTGCCGAGGCCAACATAGATGATAGTATCTCTACTACTCCACATTCTATACTATTCTATACTATATAATACAATATAAGTTAAATTACCCTCTCAGCGAAAATATAAAAAACGGCAGTTTGTTTTTTTTTTTTCAGCGTCGCACCATTTGGTCGTTGAGTAATGTGCGTCTGGAGCTTGGGTCAATGCACGAACTATTGCGAACGTCAAGTAGGCATAAAATGTTGCTATAAACTGTTAGGGTCTCAAGTGAATATCTATATTGTGATATATAGAGTCAGTTAAACTAACTGAAGGCTTCAATTCATTCTTTCCTCACTTAGTAATCAATGAACAGCACTCTTCAGCAAAGTATGCAAATAATTATTTTATAACTAAAAGTTCATGAACTCATTTTTTATTTTGGCTGTTCATAAACCAGTCATCAGAGTAGAATATACAATACAGCTGGTATACAAAACTAGATTCTTAAGCTATTTATTTGTAACTACTTTTATTTCTTTTAGCGTCTCCAAAACTAGATTTATGTTTGCAATACAATTCAATCAAGCTTAAGATAACTCATTTTGCTAAACAGCTCATGAACTAATAGATCATTTGAAGTTGCTCAGCTTTTTATTTGAACTAGTTTGCAGATTTAGTTCATTTATATATATATATATACAATAAGAGAACTAAGAGTACTTTCGAAGTTGTTTATGAACTAGTGATCAGTGGACAAGGCAATAAAATAAATGTTTCAAATAAAAAAGTTCATGAACGACAAGTTCATTTCAAGTTTTTTGCACTTCATAAACTGGTGACGATAATAATAATACTAATACTATATTTTATATTCTTAAGCAATATGTTCTTCAAGTTCTTACCTAATGATATGCATTTCTTATTCTTGGAAAGAAAAACTTGATTTACGCTTGCTAAAGAGGAATATCAGCCTAAATATCAAGATTTGCAGCTGGATTATTCAGGCTGATGCTGTATATACCTACATTTAAAAAAAAAAAAAAAAAACGATTACCTAAGCATATTATAACCTTCATTATCATCATGAGCTCAACTCAGTTCCTAGACTTGGCTATTGAGTACATCTCTCCTCAGTTCCTTATATATACTTGATATACATGCCTAATTAGTGCCATGAGGTCAATGCACTTGCCCACTAATGCAAATAGTATTCAGCTGCCAATTATTGTAAATAATTACTGCGCCTCCACTCATTTCATCGAACTAAGTATTTCACATTGATTACACTTGGCTGATAAGAAGTTTGAGCCTCTCGTTTTCTACGAAATTATATGATTTAGTAGTAGTAATAAGATAGTTTAATACTAGCGGAAATCTATGCCAGACGATTGACTACGTAAATTGCCAAGCGTCTTCCAACACTCTCGATTTTATTTTATTTTCTTGAATATTATAGCCAAACGAATCAGAGCAAAGGAAGTGGAATACATATAAATTACATGAATAATTGGGTAAATTCTTATATAACGAATATTAAATGCTCTTATTATATAAATTGCGATGTACAATATACGCCAGGCCAAAGATTTCAGATTAATAAGCTATAAGAACTCGTAGAAATTACCTAAATACTAAGCTATTCATTAAATATAGCGAATGCCCTTTCCAAATACAATTCGAAAAATTATGTAAGCTGCGATTGAGATTGTAGATTACTGAGCAATGAGCGTTGAGAATAGTTAGCAAAATACTGAGTACTCAATGCATTTTTTTCAGAATATGAGGGATACAATTATTTATTGCCTGACAACTAAGAGTATTATGGATAGTTTTAGAAGGTAGAACAATGCCAAATCTCAGATTTACAGGAGTTCATTATCAGAGCATTTCACATTCCATAGCTAATCTGCATTGTCCTGCGTTAGGGTACGACGAGGACAACCTATAAGCCTAACCTAGCCAATTCCTGCCGCGTCGAGCCATAGAGAGTGCGCGCTACCCAATCAGAGCTATAATTTATTATTTGGCCTACGACTATTCCCCACATACCAATTAACAGTTAAAAGCATTTGATTTAGCTAGCTCCAAACGATTTCATTAGATGTTCCCCATACGCCGTGTCGAAGCCTAATTAAAGTGTTGGCTTATATGCACTATTCGACCTCGCCGCATGGCCCCCCGGACCGATAGTCGATTCGACAGCTTATCGCGGCTACTTTATCGCTTTCCAATAAACATCAACAACAACAACAATAACAACAACAGCAGAGCGCACGACAGCACTTTAATTGTCATTAGGCGTACTTTACTGTACTTACAAGCAACTCGAACAGTTTCATGTTGATGATGATGATGTTGATGATGTCGCTGTCGATAGCCTTAATTTTAGGTGTCGACACGGCTCAAGGACATTATGAGAAGGCATACATACTACGTGGCCACACTCAATCTTATTGCTCCATGTGCGTGTGTGTGTGTGTGTGTGTGAGTGCTAGAGTGAGTGTATACAGCTTGTAAGTTCTTGTAAGTCGAGTACTTAAGCTGAAGTCGTGGGCAGAAGGAGTGCAGGAGTGACAGTAGTGAGAGTCGAGGCGCAGAAGCGCATAGCACTCGCACTTGAGCTACAGTTCAAATATGTCAAGTACGTCCTGGCTGGGAGCTCTGCTGTCTGAGTTGGCGTCTAGGTCTCAGTCTGAGTCTAAGTCTGTGCAATGATGAATTGTGAGCTAGCGCCTTGGCTGGGCTTAAAATAAACAACATTGACTGCAAAACTCTGAAATATATGCATTAAATATACTTTTTTTTAATTAAAAGACAACTTTATATTAAATTTAAATATTATTTTAACAAAACACTTAGCTCACTGTGACACTTTCAGCGTATTCATCGACCTAGTATTAACGATTTTTTACTGTATTTATTTTATGTGGTTTTCAATGCATGTAAAGTCTGTTATAATTTTATATAGCCTTTATTGTAAATAAATAATAATTTAAGTAATTTTTATATTGATTTGTCCTTTGTCTCATCCATATCAAAAACGAGCCTCTCTATGCAATTCTCATGTCATTGAGTGTTATTTACACTGAATGACTAACATAATTCCCACAATTATGTATATATACATATGTAAATTATACATATAGATTTATTTATTGTTTGCCTAAGCGTCTAAAAAAGGTCTCTCTATGCGATTCTCATACTTTTCAATTGATCTAGTCAAATGATAATAATGTGACATGATAAGATGCATGCTTCACGTGCCTATACGATTTTAAAAGCTGCAAAAATAATAAAATTCCCCCACAATTTCCTCATATTTATTTATAAACTAAAAATAATCTAAGCTTTTAACACGCTTCCCTCTACGAATCTTATACTTTCAAGTGCAATACTCATCCAACCACACTCTCCGTCTCTTACTTTGTCGTGTTTACCAACAATTTGAGCCAAATATTTGTCTTAAATTCAAGAAAATATTTCCATATCAACCCACTTTTCGCACTCACCTTGGATCCAGGGAGGGCACATCCGCTCCGCCGCTAGCACCACCTCGCGCATTGTTGTGATTCTTGCTGGAGCTGCCACTCATGAGGCGCATGGTGCGTGGCTCCTCGGGCGTCTCGTGATGCAGTCGACTTTGTGTGTGATGCGCATAGCGCATCGGTTGATCGGCATAGGACAGGCCTTCGCCGTCGTCAGTGTCTTGGCCTGATTCCATATCATCATCCATATCTTCAACTTCTTCATCCTCATCGTCGTCGTCCTCATCCAGATCCGAGCTATCCATATGCCGTTCGGCGCGCTGTAAAGACCGATTAACGTTAGCTTTTCCGCTTAAGCCGCACAAGTGGCAGCGAATGCCACGGGCTCACCTCATTCAGGGAGCGACTGCTGCCGACAATAATGGTGCCACCGCCCTTATTTGGGCCACCATCGCAATGGATGCCAGTCGAACACTGCTGCATGCTGCCGGGCTTCGTTAGGGGATCACATTTGGCACTCAGACTGCCATCCGTCGATTTGCACTCGACACCGCGCATCTGAATGCCCTGGCCACATGAAACGGAGCACTAAGAGAAGGAGAGAAAGAGAAAGGGAAATAGAGGGAGAGAGTTGTTAGGGATCCATAAGCATTATAAATTATTGCAATATGTTTTACGGAGGGCGCAATAAAAATTCATTTGTTTGCACAAAAGATGACGATGCTTCAGCGCGTGTTGACGAAGTGCTGTCGTGAAAAGTGAGAGAAGTGAAAGTATAAGTGGACGACTGCTAAATGGATACAAGGGGGGAGCGGTGCGGGCATGGTCAGGCATCCTTCATATGCCCTATCCCATCAACGGTGCGGCACGTGCACGCGCCCACGCATACAAATGCAAATTTCTCATATTGTTTGCGTTTTGTCAGTTGGCGCTGCCACGCGGCGTATGCGTAACGTCCTTTTCAAGTGGCTTACCCCATTGTTTATCTGCGCCCCAAGCCCAAGCCCAAGCCCAAGCCCAAACCCATTCTCATTCTTATACGCATTCTCATGCCCAGCCATTGCTTTTATGCATTTCATGCGTACTACGTATCCGTCTCTGCTCTACCCCTCGCTTCGCGCCTTTGGCTTTTCGCAACTTTTAGCCACTTTTCAGCTCATTTTAATGGCGCTTAATTTTTGTGCCACACATTCATATATATATATATATATAGGTATGTATATGCATATGTATATAGGTATATATATACATATGTGCATGTGTTTGGCCATACTTATTTTATTAATGTGCAAAAAGCATTAAATGTGTTTTTTTATTGACTCTCGAGGTCGGACTGAGTTGAGCTGAGTTCAGTTCCTCTACTCTAGCGAAATATATTGTAATTTGGCTAACAGACATTACTTGTAACCTAAGATCACATTATCTTATTGATGCTAAATGAAAATAATATATAAAAATTAAAGACAAAAATTATATATAAAAAAAAAAAATATAAATATATAAAAATAAAAATAATAAATTAAAAAAATATTTTATAAAATAAAAATATATATATTAAAACACAATTTAAAAAAAAAATTTAAAAAAAAATGGTTCAATAATTATGAAAACATCATCTGACATGCTTATGTTACAAAATTAACCAACAGAAATATTTTTAGTTACTTCTAAACTTATTTATATTAATATATATAATTTTAAAAAAATCTTTGAAAAATGATTTATGTTAATTAATAATACAAATAAAACTTGTTTGCTTAAAAAAAGGATAGGAATATGTAAAACAAAGATTTAATAAAATTAATAATTGTAGAAACCATCATCAATCTAACATTTTACTAATATTTAATATATATATTTTTTATTTTTATTATTTATATTTTTTAACTTTAAATTTATATTTATACTCATTCACGAAGTGAATTAGTATATTGGTTTTGTGCAATGTCCGTCTTGCTGTC